AGATCTATCTCCAATGCCTCCTGGCAATGATGGTGCTCAGATCCTCTTGGCTGCACTGTGTCAATAGATCAGGGATCTCAAACTCAAATCACCACAAGGGCCACATAAGGACTAGTACACTGGCCCGAGGGCCACATCACTGAAACCTTTTCATACAAAGATACAAAATCACCACCTCTGCCCCCGGCCCCGCCCCTACTCCACCCCTTCCATGAGGCGCTGCCCCTGCTCTGCTTCTTCCAACCCCTTCCCCAAAGTCCCTGCCCCAACTCTGCCCCCTCCCTGCCCCTATTCCAACCCCTTCCCCAAATCCCCGTCCTGCCCCGCCTCTTCTCCGCCTCCTCCCCTGAGCATGCTGTGTCTCTGCTCCTCCCTTCTGGAAAGTCCTAATCACCACCAAACAGCTGTTTGGTTGCGGAAAGTGCTGGGAGGTAGGCGGAAGAGTGGGGATGTGGCACGCTGTGAGGGATGAGAGTGGAGCCTGGCTGCTGGTGGAGTTGGCGCCTATGGCGGGCCACAGGAAATAACTCGGGCTGCATGTTTGAGACCCCTGCAATAGATCTTCGTTTGGGATTGTTCTGGGTCAAAAGATACAGAAGATTTTTCTGAGGCAGGTTGTATGGAATGAAGACAATTTGGACATGTCACATTTTCTCATTCCCCAGCATTCTGCACTATAAAGTACTGTTGAAAGTATGCAGCTCTGATAAATCATAGAATCATAGAATCATAGAATATCAGGGTTGGAAGGGACCCCAGAAGGTCATCTAGTCCAACCCCCTGCTCGAAGCAGGACCAATTCCCAGTTAAATCATCCCAGCCAGGGCTTTGTCAAGACTGACCTTAAAAACCTCTAAGGAAGGAGATTCTACCACCTCCCTAGGTAACGCATTCCAGTGTTTCACCACCCTCTTAGTGAAAAAGTTTTTCCGAATATCCAATCTAAACCTCCCCCACTGCAACTTGAGACCATTACTCCTCGTTCTGTCATCTGCTACCATTGAGAACAGTCTAGAGCCATCCTCTTTGGAACCCCCTTTCAGGTAGTTGAAAGCAGCTATCAAATCCCCCCTCATTCTTCTCTTCTGCAGGCTAAACAATCCCAGCTCCCTCAGCCTCTCCTCATAAGTCATGTGTTCCAGACCCCTAATCATTTTTGTTGCCCTTCGCTGGACTCTCTCCAATTTATCCACATCCTTCTTGTAGTGTGGGGCCCAAAACTGGACACAGTACTCCAGATGAGGCCTCACCAATGTCGAATAGAGGGGAACGATCACGTCCCTCGATCTGCTCGCTATGCCCCTACTTATACATCCCAAAATGCCATTGGCCTTCTTGGCAACAAGGGCACACTGCTGACTTATATCCAGCTTCTCGTCCACTATCACCCCTAGGTCTTTTTCCGCAGAACTGCTGCCTAGCCATTCGGTCCCTAGTCTGTAGCTGTGCATTGGGTTCTTCCGTCCTAAGTGCAGGACCCTGCACTTATCCTTATTGAACCTCATCAGATTCCTTTTGGCCCAATCCTCCAATTTCTCTAGGTCCTTCTGTATCCTATCCCTCCCCTCCAGCGTATCTACCACTCCTCCCAGTTTAGTATCATCCACAAATTTGTTGAGGGTGCAATCCACACCATCCTCCAGATCATTTATGAAGATATTGAACAAAACCGGCCCCAGGACCGACCCTTGGGGCACTCCACTTGATACCGGCTGCCAACCAGACATGGAGCCATTGATCACTACCCGTTGAGCCCGACAATCTAGCCAGCTTTCTACCCACCTTATAGTGCATTCATCCAGCCCATACTTCCTTAACTTGCTGACAAGAATACTGTGGGAGACCATGTCAAAAGCTTTGCTAAAGTCAAGAAACAATACATCCACTGCTTTCCCTTCATCCACAGAACCAGTAATCTCATCATAAAAGGCGATTAGATTAGTCAGGCATGACCTTCCCTTGGTGAATCCATGCTGGCTGTTCCTGATCACTTTCCTCTCATGCAAGTGCTTCAGGATTGATTCTTTGGGGACCTGCTCAAATCTTGAATTTGGTTTTGGTGTTGTATTTTGATGATTTCCAGACTGATGAGTTCCAGGTCCTGAAGGTGTTCCTGGCTTTATTGATTTTGTTCTGAATGTCCTGGCTTGTTCCACCATGCTGGCTGATGGTGCTGCCTATTATGTGAATGTTTCTACATTGTTGAGAACATAATTCTCTATCCGTACTGGTGATGGTGAGGCAATGATATCTGTCTTATTGCAGTTGATTTTCAGTCCAGTTTGCTGGCTGAATGTGTTGAGTTGAATTGTTTTTTCTTGTATATGGTGTTGGCTATGTGATAGGAGAGTGACATCATCTGCGAAGTCCAGGTCTTCAAGGGATGAAAAGAGTGACCATGTAATGCCTCTTGGCATATCTTCTGTTGTACGCTGCATTACCCAGTCAATGGCAATGTTGAAGAGGATTGCAAACATGATACACCCCTGACGTACTCCGTTTTGACTTCAAAACTGAGCTCACTGAGACCAACACTGCATGTAAAGTTGAAATAGAAGCTTTTGATGACATTGATTATATGGAAAGGAATTCCATATGCCTGCAGAATGCGCCATAGGCTGGTCCTGTAAATGCTATCAAAAGCCTTCTCAAAGTCTATTAAATGTATGTAGAGTTGCCGTTGCCATTCTAAGCACTGTTCTATTATGTTTTGTAGAGTGAAGATCTGGTCTGTGCATCCATGCCCTTTCCGAAAACCAGCTTGCTCTTTTCTGAGAATGCTGTCAACTGCCTCCTATATACACTGGACTATGATCTTACATAATACTTTGCTTGGCACAGATAAAAGTGTGATACCACGCCAGTTATTACAATCACTGAGAGTTCCTTTCTTTGGTATCTGCACTGTAACCCCATTGGTCCACTCATCTGGCACTTTTTCCCTTTCCCAGACTGATATAAATAGAGGGGCCAGGATAGATGCTGCTAATTTAGGATTTACCTTGAACAATTCTGCATTCAAGTTATCCTTGCCATGAGCATTCCCATTTTTTAAGGATTTGATAGCGTGAATGATCTCTTCCTTAGTTGGGCTGCCTGTGTTGATATGAAGATCTTCTTCTGCCTCCTGGATGTTTGCTTCCTCTTTAGGTGGCTCCCTGTTCAGCAATTCTTTGAAATGCTCTGTCCAGCGCATTTCTTGTTCTTTTTCAGTTGTTAGTAGGTGTCCTTGTTTGTTCCTGATGAGAGTGTTTGTTGGCATCTGCCGTTTACCACTGATAAGCCATGTCATTTCGTAGACAGTTCCTTGCTCACCACGAGCAGCTGCGTCCTCTGCTTGTGTTGCCAGATTATCAATACAATGCCGTTTGTCCGCTCTCACAAGGCGTTTGACCTCCCAGTGTGCCTTGATTGTGCTATTTGTCCTTTAGCTTCTGGGATTTTGTGTCTAAAACTTTTTTCTTCATGGCTCGTCTGGTTTCTATGGCGTTCCATGTGCTGGGTGTAATCCACTCCTTCCTTCTCTTCTGCCTGTAGCCTAGACAGGCTTCAATGCTTTGTTTATAAATTGTTGTTACTTTGTCCCACCTCTTGTTATATTTGTTGCTCCGGAGTGTGAAAAAATCCAGACCCCTGACCGACATAAGTTTCACTGACAAAAGTGCCGGTGTGTACAGCGCTGTCGGTGGGAGACGCTACCGCTGCTCAATGGGGGTGGATTAATTATGCCAGCGGGAGACCTCTCTTCCTCTGGCATAGAGCGGCTACAAGAGGAGACCTTACAGCAGTCCAGCTGTAGCGGTACTAGTGTGCCACTGTAAGGTCTGTAGTGTGGACAGCCTAAATCTCACAGCACCTTCTAACTGGCATTATCATCCCCATTTTACAGAGGAGGGAGGGAGGGAGTGCTAAAGGGACATAATCAGTTTAAAAATCCCAGACCAAAAGGGAGGCATGTGGCTAGGAATCAGCAAGTCCTGAATGCTAACCCTGGTGTTTCCACTTACTGGGTATGGGGCCCCAGGGAAGTCACATCAGCTTCCCCGTTAGTAGAGTGGAAGTAAGGGGCCTCACCCACCATGCTCATAGGAGGGCTGTGGGGATGAATTAGCAAATGCATATGCAGTGCTTTGAAAATGTAAAGCACTCTATAAATGCTATGTATAATTGTATCTGTCTGAAAATTTGTGACCAATTGTTGTTACACATAATCTCTGCGATGACTAAAACCATCTGGCTGGGATGATTTAGTTGGGGATTGGTCCTGCTTTGAGCAGGGGGTTGGACTAGATGACCTCCTGAGGTCCCTTCCAACCCTGATATTCTATGATTCTATGAAATGATACGAGAAGGAAAAAATCTTACATTGTGTTTGATTCCTTTAGGCAGCTGAGGACACTTTTGTAGTATCGGTTTCGTGTTTCCCCTATAGAGTCAGTTTGTCCCTTGCTGAAAAGACCTTTATGATCAACAACAGAAGGGGAAAAAAATCCTTATACAATATTTCATTTGTAAAGGATATTTTTTTAATTTTAGAACATGCCATTTTGAGGGCGCTCTCTCACAAGATGTCAGTGTCCCTTTAATATGCACACAGAGAATAGAGGGCTTGTTAACACACATCCTTGTGTGGATTTGATGATCTGTGTCCATAGATTCACACTAAAGGACTCGTCCTTTCATACATGTAAATCTCAGTATGCATTTGTGCATGCACAGCCACCGCAGTCACACACACAACATGCAAGCCAGGACCCAGACTCACACACTTCTCAAACATAATTAACACATCAGAGACATATGCATGTGCAAATGCACACATTCAGCAAACAGCAACCTCCCACATACCTAGCATACAATAGAGAGCCCTTCACATACAGTCCCCCACATAAATACATAACATACCAGGTAAACATACACGTGTGTGCACATGTACAGTACGCAACAGCCACTGACATCATACACACACCATACATACTTAACACACCAAATGTACGTACCTGTGTGGGCACACACACAAATGGTTCACAAATTCCCTTGTTCATTAAAGCTGATTCTATTGCTGTCAGTTTCAGGCCTTTCCCAGCTGAGCCTGATTTATTGTAGAAATATCAGCAACCCCTCTTCCTTCTGCACTGAAGGCTCCAGGTCATAATTAGTAATTTATGCAGCTTCTAATCGATGCAAAATGTGAATTTTTAATCCTCCTGGCTTTCCCACAGGAGCCACCTTCTCTGAACTTGTCTTTCTATGAACAGAGAGGGATACAGGCCTCAGCTGTGGAAAATACCATATGGCTGCAGGCATCAGCACCTTCCTGGAGATGCTTCACTGCCTAAGCCAAGCACCTGCCAATCACTGAAACATAGGCTGAAGGGCAAAGTGAGAAGGTGGCATGAGGCTAGTGATTTCAGTGGGATGCTTATGTAAAAACAATTCAGTGATACAGAGACTGCAGGATCAGCAGCCAAAATACAGTGTTTGGGGTCAAATCCAGCCCCTTTCCCTAGGCATGCAAATGTTTCCCTGTCAGTGGAAACTGATGCAGTTCTATTGTACAAGTGCAGAGGATGAAGGGGGGTGGGTGGGAAGAGCTAGACGTGTGCGTGCAGTCCCTACAGGAGCTTTCTGCATGGCAATGTGTAAGATATGGGTGGGATTGGGGTGGGAGCAAAGGATTCAGATTTTAGGACCTGTTGTTCAACACTGGTGAAATAAGGGTTAATGTGATTGGAGCTTTTTTGAGCTAAAGTTGGCCTGTCCCTAGTTGTGTAAAAGAGCATTTTCCACTAAAGCAAGTTGTTGCTGGCCTGGATCCTCCTAACTGCTGAGTCCTGGGTCTCCACAGACTTAGATCTTGTGTCATCATTTACCAAGTCAGAATTCTCCGCTCACTCATCCTGTATTAGCATCTTGTACTTCTTTTGCAGAGGTAGAAGTGTCTGAGATGCCAGCCAGTGGTGAATCAGGCCCTGGGGTACCTCTGATAAATCCTTTTGCTAAAACTTCCCACAGAAACAAGAAGTCTTTGAACTCTGTTATTACCTCATCACTTATGCAGGTGTTTTAATATTTGTGCATGTGATTGGAAGGGAAATAAAAGAGAGATGGAATGGAAATAGACAACAGCACAGGAGAAAAACAGCCTTGTTCACAAAAATCTGAAACAATTACCAGTGTTCAGATGGGTATGTTTGTACATAGCCTGATTAAAATCCCCTTTTCCCCTGTCTGTAGATAAAGCTTCAGATCGTCAGCTGATCTAAATGAGCACAGCTACACTGCAGAGTGTTAAACTGATTTACACCACCTGGGGATCTACCCCATAGTGAGGGCTGATTCTCCTCTCACTTACACCAATGTGCTCCATTGACTTCAATGGAGTTCCTCCTGATTTAAACCAGTGTGAGTGAGAGGAAAGGCTGGTTGATACCAGAATAAATGAATTTACTGAGGTCCCATTTTTTCTTTGAGGTTTTTAGTCTGCCTGCACAACCATCCTGGTGAATTTCACCATGTGGTGGTGGGAGGGTGTTGAAATGGGAAAGACAAGCAAACAGCATGAATGAGCTGGGGTGGGACTTATGGCAGCCAATAAGGCTTTACAGGGAACCCTTTTTTGACAGATATTTAATGTTTTAAAGGAAAATACAAAGACCAGCCAGCCAGAAACTGAAGAGCTGATTCATAAAAACAAGTACAGTAGGGTTCAAAAATAAGTTTGATGCTACTCTCTGTCTATTTTCCAGCTGGCTGAAGCATGTGATAAAGCTCAATAGTATTTATTACAGTGCAGCCTTAGTCATCTGAATACTGCAGAGGACACTGACTAACCTCTGATAATTGAAACAAAGTTCAATGTAACTTAGAGATGCTGTGAAAGGGTGACCTTATTTTTGGATAACAGCATTCTGGATGCAGGAGGTTTAGAGAAGTCACCCCCCGCAACCATTAAATTTCAGCACCCATTACCTCTACCCTCCACCCCACCCCACCGCCAATACTCAACATCAACCACCACCTCTCAGTACCACCAACACCTAATATTGCCATCACCCAACACCCCCACAACCTAAATCCGATAACACCCGGTGCCACACCTAATGTCAACGTCACTCCCATTCACCACCCAACAGCACTTATGACTCCTCATTTATGCATCACAATAGATGGGCCTGCTACTTTACAGACATATCCCAGCCCCAAAGATCTTAGTCTCCTTTATACAGATAACCCTGTGGGTGACAATGTCATCAATATTCTGAGGAGGGAGGAGTGGGGATTGTGGGGAGATGCAATGGGGGGACATTTGTTTGAAGTATGAACTTTGTGTTGTGATCACTTGACTTATGCTGTGTCAAACTTTGGTGTGTGTTTGATAATCCCAGTGTGGGGCCTGATCCTGTATGACACTGAATGTTCTCAACTCCTGTTAACTTCAGTGAGAGCAGACAGCACCCTGTGCGCCTTATTCCCTCGTGGCCCTGCACATTATGCCATAATTCATATGTGTGTTTAGTGGAAGTAAAAAATTGCCAGTGTGACTGGCATAGCATAAAAGACTATGCATGGTCATTAAGGCAGTGAAGAATCAACCCCCATGTTTATTCTCCCTGAATTCTGATTGACTTCTGGGATTGGTCATGTGATACATTCTCCTCCCTCTTCCCCCCCCGCCCCTGCAATTTTGCAGTTTTGAAGAAGTATGTATTTTGGAAGCAGGGTTAGAAATCCTCCTGGGTCCTGTGGAATGAGCAGCTTCCCCAGAGAGCTGGTTTCTCTTTCAGGCTTTGGGGTACAGTGGCAGAGAGCAAGCAACCTTCCAAGTTCTCCTCCCTTTGAGTGAGAAGTTATAAAAACTGGGAGGGAGCTGCAGGCCTGTGACTTAACAATCCTGGTCCTCTGCTTGCTCCTTGGTTTTGATCTAGTGACTAACATTTCAACCAGCTTGATGCTCCTCTTGTTCAAGTTGGCTGAGGCCACGAGGCCCTGGGCCTGAGAATCAAATATTCCCAATGTAATGGGACTGTTTGCCACTTACTAAAACTCAGTGCGGGTTTTTTGGTTGCTAGTTCCCAGTACCAAAAGAAAGGGGAAGGGTTGATGGGCAATCAGAACTCTGAGACTGACAGTCCCCAGAAACAATGGGGAGAGGCCAATGCTCCAGGTCAGCCAGACTGACATGGTGGGCAGGCTAATGAGGGACTCAGGAGGCCAGGGGGATTCAGTCCTCAGAATGTGAACTGGAATTGCTGGGAACAGAGTGGGGCCAAGTGAGCTAAGGAGAGAGCGGGGACCTGAGCTGAGCTGAGCTGGGGAGCAGGGTCACGCCAGCCAGAGAGAAGCAGGCCAGGGAGCAGGTCAGTGCTGGGAGCAGAGCCACAGAAGTAGCCCAGAGAGCTGATCTGTGCTGGGAGAAGAACTGCAGCAACCAGAGCCAGAGGGGCCAGAAAAAGCAGCCAAGGGGACTGGAGGCAGAGCAGCATCAGTGCTGAGGCAGAATGGAGCTGGGGCTGGGGCTGGAGCAGTCTGGAGACAGGTGCGGTGAGCAGCTGGGGAGAGCGAGCAGGGCACTGAGCAGCGGGCCCAGTGCAGGGAGACGCCCCCAGCCAAGAGGCCTTGCAGGCCAGACTTGGAGTGGGGAGCATAACCCTGACAGGGGGTGGGGAAGGCTGACACTGGGAAGATGGGTCCTGCCACCTAGAGCCTGAAGGTGTGTGGCCACTGTCAGAGCAAGTGTCCAACCCACAGCACCCCTGCAGCACAGCCAGGGCCTGAGAAGGAGGCCTAGGACATCTGAAGGACAGACTGTGAACTTTCCCTTACATTCCAGAGACGCGGTGTCCCCATGCCACAGACCGGGGTTATGTGTTTTCCTTTAACCTTTCCTATTTTTTCCTTATTTTTTTAAATTGGTTGCTGTTGAATAAATTGTATTTGCTTTTAACTATATATAATGATCAGTGGGTCAAGAAAGCATCCAGTGCAGAGAGAGCACCCTGGAGTGGGGACACCCCATCCCAGAGGTGGGCAAACTAAGGCCCGTGGGACCGTCCTGCCCGGCCCCTGAGTTCCCGGCTGGGAAGGCTAGTCTCCGGCCCTTCCCCTGCTGCCCCCTCCCTCCCCCACAGTCACGCCACCGTGCGGGCAGCGCTCTGGCCCGCTGCTCCTGATCATGGCGATGTGGCTGGCTTTGGCATGGTAAGGTGGTGGGGAGCGGGGGTGGGGGTTGGATAACAGGCAGGGGACCCCGAGGGGCAGTTGGGGGACAGGGAGCAGTTGGATGGGGCGGAAGTTCTGGGTGGGGGGACAGTCAGCGAACGGGGAGCAGGGGGAGTTGGATAGGGGATGGGGTTCTGGGGGGCGGTTAGGGGCGGGGGTGTGGATAGGGGTTGTGGCAGTCAGGGGACAGGGAGCAGGGGGGAGGGGTTGGATAGGGGATGGGGTCCTGGGGGGCAGAGGGTCCTGGGAGGGGGTAGTCAGGGGTCAAGGAGCCGGGGGGGTTGGAATAGGGGGGTTCTGAGGGGGGCCAGAAGTGGGAGGCGGTAGGGGCCAGGCTGTTTGGGGAGGCACAGCCTTCCCTACCTGACCCTCCATAAAGTTGTGCAACCCTGATGTGGCCCTTGGGCCAAAAAGTTTGCCCACCCCACCCTATCCCCTACCATAAATGACCACAAGGTTGGGGATCAAGCCCCCCAGGAATCCTGGGCCCAGCCTTGTTGGGGTTATGAGGACTCTGCCACACAGGAGAGTGGAAGGGGAGCCCTTGAGGTCAGGCAGGCCTCTGGGTAAAGGAAGTGGGAGTGAGGACTCAGAGCCTTTCGCTAGCTTATTTCACGGGGATAATTTACAAGCCAGAAAAGTTCCCCATAATAGCAGGACCGTTCCCCGGCTTACACCTCTCTCCTCTGGCAACGTTATTGCCAATGACAGCAAATACATGGCAATCATCTTTTTTCATTTCACTCGTCTACTCTAGGATATGAGGTCCCCTAAAAGCCTTAAAGGCTGCAGAGTTCAGGGGATCCAGGTGCTGAATAAATGTTCTTCCAAGAAGAGCTGTCCCCCTCAGAGGGGAAAAATGGAGAGCCAAGGTTCTCTCCTCAGTATAGTGCGAAAAGCCCCCATACCTCCAAGGCACTGTGGTAATCTGCAGGTTGGCCTAAACCAAGTGCAGGTTTATTATCCTATACTTGCAAGCAGTAAGTAAGATTGAAAAAAAAAAAAAAAGTGTGACACTTGCTATCCTC